TTTTTTTAAAGAATTACCAACACGTGTTTATATATTGACATTCCTTTAATTGTTTATAACCATTTCTGGTCTTTCCCTTCAGTCTTGTCCACCCCCTTCCAGACTTTTTCTGTCCCTAACTTTTGAGATATTCTGCAGTCGCATAGTAGTTTTTAAATGAGTATTGCCAATATGATCGGTGCAAACATTCGTGAGGCCCTCTCAAGCAATCAAAGCAAAACTAAAGCCAATAACGACTTGGTCGTTAGTTACATGTTTTAGGGCTGTTTTCCAGCCACCTTTTTGTGAAGTTAAACTCTGATATTATAGGAATATGTGTTTTTTTGACTTTACATTTTTACACTTAACTGAAAAGCGTTCTAAAGTAAGGCGTCATTGCGACAGTTAAGTTATGCCATTATCGGCTGGCCAGTCTTTGAAAAACTAGAATAAAATTGTAAAACCAAGCCACAGTAGCTGAGAGTCAAAGATGTAAGCTACTGATCTCCTGCGGTTTCATATCCGATACGGAGCCGGCAGGCAGTCTTTTAGCGGCATTGCTTTGACTATGAGACAATTCTGCACCAGTTCTCCATTCTCTTCTGCACAAAAGCTTTCTGAACGCGCGTCTAAACTCTGAGCCCGTAAACGCGTACAGCAGCGGATTGAGCGAAGAATGCAGGTATGCAAGCCAGCACGTGACAGTATCAACAAGCTCCACTGCGCATGTCTCTACACCTTCGTCGATAAGAATCACAACATTAATGATTTCAAAAGGCAACCAGCAGATAACAAAGCACAGCACCACGATCCCAAGCATCTTAGCGATTCTCAGTTCCCGTCCAAAAGAAGTCGTTCGCGATGACGCCACTGACGAAGCCCTATTTGATGACGTCATGGTATTAACCCCAGTACGCTGGGCGTGCCCTTTAGCGATTGTATAAATCTTGAAATACAAAATCATCATAATAAGAAAGGGGAAGATAACATTTCCGATGAGGAGGAAACCATGAACAAACGGGTTCAAGTCAAAACTATAAGTCTCGTCTTTCGGCGGATCTAACAAAAAAAGCAATAAAATTGCAATACTGAAAGAGTACAGCCAAACACTGGCTATCATGGATTTGGCCACCTTCGACGTCATCCATATGGTATAGCGAAGTGGATATACCACGGCTAAATAGCGGTCTATACTTATTGCTGTCAGATTTAACACGGAAGCTGTTAGGAAAAGAAAAAAGGACGCGTTCCATAGATTGCACACGTACCCACCCAAAGGCCACCTGGGGAAGGTTATCCAGTATATGACGTCAAACGGCAGAACGAAGACCGCGACCATTATGTCTGACAGGGCAAGGCTGACTATGAAATGCTCCGAATATGAATGCAGATACGAAAATTTTACACTTGCTATGCACACGAGTGTGTTGCCAAAAAGAGAAGTTATCATAATCACTAACATAAATACTAAACCGGCGAATGTCAATCCAGAGCCAAGATGATTCTCGCAAAGAAGTAAATCGAAGCCATGATCTTGAAACGGATCCGATCCATTTCCCATTTGTAAGGTACCTTGTGGTCGTCGCTGCTTCAGCGAGGAAAGCTTAAAAGACGAAACCATGAAAATTGGAAATGATGAGTTATGCTTCAAAATTAAGAAAGTGAAAGTTTCAATCAACAGGAGTACCCATAAATCTGAACAAACTGTAAAGATACCTTCAAAATACTCACTGTCAGCTTTTTGATAAAGGCGTTTACCGCAAACAAGATTTTAAATTCGAGGGTTGTATGTTTCTCCTTTTCAACTCAATAGTCCTCCAGGTTCAACAGATGCGTTACTCTTAATTTACGGTTCAACAAGCGACTCTAACCGAACCAAGTCAACAGCATATCAGTCCACAAGATGGTAAACAGTTATGTACCGCCGAGTATTTGAGTAAAGTGAAAATGAAGTTATCAACTGCATAAATTAAATGTACTCCTGTCGTATCTATGTTGTTTATCAGCCTTCAGAGGTATTGTTCCCAAAATTTTTGTTATTAAGCGGCGGATCTCTCTTTACAAGAAGACGCGCGTTATATTAGCTCATCAGCCAATCCCTGCGTAAATTAGATCTTCGGTGCTCTCAAAACTACAGGAGAAATAGCCACCTTATCTCAACCATCCCCTGACACAAGATGTTTCGTCTATGTGTGATTCACTCACTCAACTGGTAAACTCTAACTGAGTGTTCTTTTCACAAAAGCCTTCGATGTACCAATTCCTTATGCATCCTTTCCCTACGACTAAGCTCTATCTGAAGATACCTATTTTAATTTTAAATAAATCCAATACCAGTAAAGCATATGTTATCATTATTTTAAAGTTGACGGTGCAAACAGATTTGCCCCGCCCATAACGAAAATTGATCCTTCTCTACAACTGCGCACGACATTATTTTCACTAAAAGAGCAAACACTGTATAATTCTGAATGAGATGTTGCTTTTCATTAAACAAAATATACACCTGTTCTTACAAATCTTTGAATAATTATTGTGATTTTGCAATCGACCTTCAAAATCCCTTCGATTTTTAGCGGCTTATTTAAAAGTATTTTAAATTTTGCTACAACTTCCAAGAGTATAAATTGATTGACGTTAAACACACCGTCGATTTTTCACAACTTTTTCGCCGTGTTGTCATCATCAACTGCTGTACAAATATATTGAAATTGCGGTTTTGTCGGCTACCAATTTGTTTGTGAAAAATTGTGCGGTTAGGGATATTAATAGCAAATTTAATATCTTCTTTGAGTGAAAAAAGTAAAAAAAAAGGTCTAATGCATTTTTTTAAAAAATTTAGAAGAATAGTTATACGCTGATGTATTAATTGTGGACATTTGCTCGACGATCTTAATGATTTTGGATCAATCACGATTTCGAAATGTCATCATATTGACTCTTCATTGCTGTAAAATTTTCCACTTCTCTGATGCATGTATTAAGAGACTAACTGCCGCCAATCGTTTGCTTTTTTAATAAAAAAAGGTTCATTTTTATGAACATATAACGTGCAAAAAGGTTCTTATCACCTAGATATAATTTCCGAGCTTAAAAAAAAAAAAATTAAAAAAATCACCGACTGATCGCGCACCCACGCTGCTTTTCATATAACTGTCAATCAAGTTGGAGACAAATGAATCGTTCTGAATAACGCTTTGTTTGTATTCAATTTTAAGAAATTAGCAGTTTGCATTGTGGACTGAAAACTAATATACCGGATCAATTTTGAAACACGAGTCATAACGTTTAAATTTATTGATGTTCTTAAACAAACAGAGAGGAATGTACAAAGTTATCTAATTAACTGAAATCCTTTGCTGATTCTTTTCTTCAATTTTCGTTTGGATCCAAAATAATGAATACAATGTCGGAGATTAGTGAGACTAGTGCAACAATAGTTTACACCAATTTGCTCATTGCTGAAGTTAATCACTTGCAAATCACTAAATGTTCTTGAAACACAACAGAAATATCCAACCGTTCCCGACAAACCTAGGGGCCAGATCCGACATCTGTCGACGACATCCCGACGACACTCGCGCGATGGTGGATATTCATTCCCAATCCTCTTCATAATTGACTTAATCCCAGCATGCCTTCTGCTCTTGGAAATGAAACGTCACCAAAATCCAAGATGGATTCCGCAGTTCTTGTAAGGGATTTGAATTTTTTTCTAAGGAGTTTCGTCGTTATACTGAATATTTAGGAAACTTTTGTATTAGATAGTAGCGTACGTATATGAAAAGTTTCGAAACGCTTGGGAACATGCGAGTTATTCTTTCGATTCAATGCTCTGTTCGCTAATTTATCCGCTCGATGCAAATCTGTACGATGTTTGACCAAAATGGTTCGCTTATCCACAATTTAGAAGTCTTACCACTGATTATTCTTGTTTTTCATACAATAGGAAGCATCCCTGTACACAGTTAAAGCGATTGCCATTCTGGATAATGATGGTGAACGAGTAGTTGCGAAGGTAGATAAGATTCACTTTATCAATTTAACGTGTTTATGGCCTCATGTGTTGCCTACATGAACATCGTAGATGTGAACTTGATATTGTTTTTACACTACTAAGATTTTAAGTTGAGTTTATTTTATCTAAGTAATTTTGTCTCACATATTCAGCTGTTAAGCTTGACATGATTTTTAATTTTTTTTTCTACTGTTGTAAACAGTGTTCGTTCCATGAGGTTATTTCACATAATGTTTAGATGAGAGACCTCTTATTAAAACTGATAAAGTCTCCTTTGAATGGTCAGGGTCTTGTAAGTACCTAAAACTAAAAATTTTTCTTTCCGACATAAAAATATAAATTATGTATTTTTTCAGCCATAAATCTGAATGTGAAAAAGCACATAAGTAAATTTCCAATTCTTTTTATTTACATTATAGTACTATGATGACCAATACCAAACCACAAAGGAACAGAAAGAGTTTGAAAAGAATCTTTTCAACAAAACACACAGAGCAAATGGTGAGCTTTCTTATCAATTTTATAACGTTAAAATCACACTGCTTTGCCAAGTTGAAATACTGCTAGTCAAAAGGACTGCTGTTCAACTTAGGTGACTAATTTTTTTTGGTAACCTGTCATGATGACCAAAACAGACACTTTGGAGAACTGATTGCATGTTCCCTTTTTTTTTTCATGTCATACTTTTTCATAAATGTGCAAGGCATAGAGATGACCACTATTTTTCCTTCACTGATTGCTTCTTTGTTTTTCTCTTTTCAGCTGAAATTATAATGTTAGATGGCTTGACGTGTGTGTATAGAAGTAATGTGGATCTCTTTTTTTATGTTATGGGTTCTTCCAATGAAAATGAGGTAAATGTCTTAAGTGGGTTTCAAATGGATACATTTATTTACTGTTTGTGGCAGAAAATTAGTAAATTTTCACAGATATACACTGTATTAACCCTTAACTCCTAGATCAAATTTTTAATTCTCCTTACTGTCAACCATACAATTCTTATCATGTTAGTTCAGAGAATTTAGTATTGGATCAATTTATTATCCCCATAGTGATGTGTTACTTTATTCCCATCACTTATCTGGTTGACATCATATTGATATTGTAAGGAGAAATTCTCTCTTGGTCACTCATGGGAGTTAAAAGGTTAAGTGATCAAATGTCAAAGTCCTGAAATTCTTTCCCCTTAAAAACTGTAATTTTCATCTCTCTCAAGTGGTCTCCTCTGTTAGGCGATCATGGTCAACCTTTACTGAGTCCCAACAGCCTGTTGTATTGTCTTCCACCTCTATTGAACAGTCACTTAAAGTGGAACCACTCAATTAAAATTAAGAACAAGCTTTCAAGTAAATTTAATTCACAGAGAGAGATGTTTTTCATCTTGTCACGAGCGTGGGACAAAGAACAAATTCTGAGTCCCCATGAGGAATGGAACTTTAGACCTTTGGATTCCTTGCTCTGTTGCTCTTTCACTGAGCCACAGAGACTCTACAGTGAGCGAGGTTTATTATCATGTTGTCGCAAGCATGGGACAAAGAAAAAATTCTGAGTCCCCACGAGGAATTGAACAAACCAAAAAAACACATTTTGACTTGTTTAACCCAAATTTTATCTTTAATTACCACATTAATATGTGCAATGTTTTTTGCAGTTGATTCTTGTAAGTGTTCTAAATGCCTTCTATGATGCAATCAGTCAGCTGCTGAGGAAGAATGTGGAAAAGAGAGGCCTAACAGATAACTTGGATGGTGTTTTGTCAATACTTGATGAGATTGTAGATGGAGGGTAAGTACTGTTACAGTGTTCCCTAGAAGCCCTGGATGTGGATGTCTTCATTGGCTACCTGTTTCTGAAGCTCAGAATGTTTTCTAGCAGCCCATATTGGAGTGATGATGATTGAAGTAACCACTAAAACATTGCTTTAGAGTAACTTGGGATTCCAGCATGCTACAGGCTTTTACTGATAGCTCTGATTGTCCAGAGCATATTAAATTTTACTCAGCACTGAAGCAGTATAACCCTGTTTTGCTTTCAGATCATGGCTTTGACTGTTTCCATCATGAATGAATGATTTTTTTGTTCGTTTTCAACAGGGTAATAATGGAATCTGATGCTTCTTCAATATTGCAGAGAGTTGCCATCAAGGTGAATTTACTCTCTTACTAATTGTAGTATTATTGAATATACTTTATTTGAGATAAGCAATCTTGAAGTTATGGTTAAGTTTATTCCAGTAATTGCTTGAAAATGTCCATTTCTTTGCTGTAAATTCAAATGTTGTGTTTTCTCTCTTTCAGAATGATGATGTACCAATCACAGAGCAAACAGTGGCCCAGGTAAAAATTTTATGTACATAGTGCTCATGTTAAAATTACTTATCTCGTTCCTCATGGTAGGATCTGTGAGTTTGTGCTGAAGTTTCTTTACCTTTTTTGTCCTTCAGAAACCAAGTAAAACCACTTATCAGTAAATTGTAACCATCAAATTAAATTGAATCACTGTAAATTCAATTGATAGTGAGAGCAAGTAAAGGTTATTGTAGACTACCAGGAATTTCACGATTCTCTGCTTTCCTGAATTGTTCTCAACAATGAGAACAGAAATAGTGGACATCCATGATTTTGTGGCAGTTGCCTTACAAGACTTATACTGCTCCTGAGGAGTTTAGCAATGTTAAGTCAAGAATTCAAGTTACTTTTCTAGTTCCAATGGGGATTTTCTTAGTTTCTACTCCTACTGATTATCTCTTCATTTCATTCTTTCAGGTTCTCCAAACTGCAAAAGATCAACTAAAGTGGTCTCTTCTGAAGTGATCCCTTTTATTTGGGAATTCTATCCAATATTGTTCTATTTAGAAAAAAATGCAGACACTGTAGTTAGGCATCTGCTTTGGATCTTTAGTTATCTAAATTCTGCTTTGGTTTTCCTATTGAACTGGTCTTGTGGAAAAAAATGTCATCATACTGTAACAAAGGAGATGTAAAAACAGCAGAGTGAAAGTAATCATTAGTTTTTTTAAATTTTTTAAACTTTTTTTTTTTAAGTTCTGCTAATGTTTATTTGGTTGTGGCAAGGTGTTAGGCATTCAGGAAAGAAAACTATGCTGGAGTACTGTTCTTTTCCTTGTTTTTCAAATATGTTCTGTTAACTGTTGACTTTTGGAACCACTACTGTCAGGAGGGTCACTAAAACAAAACTGACCAGTCATCTTACTGGAAAGAAACAATGCTTCCAACTTAATTTGACTATGCCAATCAGTATTCAGGACCCGAGCAAGCAAAGATGGCAAATAATTCAGGTGGGCTTCTTAATTTGTTTTCAGTGATGAGACTGGTCAGTTTTGTTCATGTATCTTGCGTTACAGAAGGTTCCATTTAGGTATGCTACTAGCAATGTATCTTTTGGTTTTTTTTGTTTTTGTTTTAGCCTAACAGGTCTATCAGTTAGCCTGTGAAGTTAGACAGATTCGTGACTGCATTGCAAAACAGCAAACTTTATTGTAAAGATGGTGTGACTTAGTCTCAGACAGAAAGTATGATCATAAGGTAGAAATAATAATAATAAAATGGAACTTTAAATGGTATTTCCTGAGTACAATTTTTATCAAAGGGGTAAGTTTCTAAAGAAACTGTGGTTCTGTGTTGGTGGGAGAGTATAACAGGGTAATTTGGTATTATCCATTGAGTTGATAATGTAAATTGGCTGTTTCAAAGCTGATGTTTTGAGTGTCAGCCCTTTGTCAGAGCAAATGACAAAGGGCTAATGCTTGAAACTGTTTTACAGTGGCCAATTTACATTACCAACTCAGTTTATAATACCAAATTTCAATTTTTATTAGTTGTTCTCAATAGGGTGCTCAGTTCTTACTGGACACTGAGAGCACAGTAACTGGGTGAATGTAACATGCATTCTAAAACACCAGTTAAACTCCAGGTAAATTCAATAACTGCTTTATTAAATTAAATAAATGTCATTATTTGTTTGTCGCAAATAGCTTACTCTGGTTTAATTACAAAATGCCATCTCTCTTGGTGAATATTTTCATGCAGTTTTTGGTCAACTTTTAATCAGTGAATTGTCTTCCAACAATCAAAGGTCCTTACAATTTCTCTTGGTGATAGGGAGCATTATTCATAGCTATGTTCCTCTATCCTCTTCAGAAAGTATATTCTTCAAATAACTTGCTTGTCAACTTGCATAACAACTTTAATTTTCATATTGAATTTAATTTCCCTTCTTGACATGGTATATAAACTTTTTCAATTTTTTTTGCCATTTTCTCCTTCATTTAATCTTGCCTACTCTCAGTAAAGTAATTTTGGGGACAGACTAAAAGAAAGGTTACAAAAATAGTTCTCATCAATTTGAGTACCCACCCTCTTCTTGTAGTTGTTAGTTATGGTCTGATTGGCTGTACTGACTATGCTGGTTTTTTTTCTTTACAACACTCTGGGGAAAAGGGCATTTTCTAGAAGTGCCCTTTACAAAAAAAAAAAAGTTGAATGTCATTGAAGTTTTACAAGTTTTACTGCCAACATCAGAGGGGATTGAAATATTTTCAAAATTTTTCCTTGAACTATTAATGAAACTACTACACGAACAATTCTGCTGTTTTATCTTCCACTTTGTTATCTTTGGGAGTTTTCTTTGCTTGGGCTTGCCTCATCTATAGCATCTACACATTGTCTGTAAACAAGAATTGATATTAAAATGAATCCTAACAAAAAATTTGAAAAACTAGCACCTCTCACAGTTACCAATCTCTGGACAAAGTTGTGCTAAAAATATTTGGATTTGTCAGTGGGGGAGAAATTTATTCATTCCAAAGTCAAAACTAAAGAAAAAGATTTATTTATCTGTGAGACACTGAAAAACCACAATATCATTTTTTTTTTTTGATGACTGAGTTCCATTTATTCTTTTAATTTGATTACTTTAGTCTTTTCCTTTAATAATTATTGCAAATAGCTCTCTGACAGCCTAGGGAAAGGACTCTCCATTTCCCACCAAGAAGCATGATCACAACTTTGCCTAATCAGAATTTCACCTGCAGGAAAACAGAACTAGATGGTATTGTGCATGAGCAGAATATTTTCTGTAAGCAGCAATTTGTAAATCGTGATGGGCTCTCTGCCATTGAAAAGGAGGAAAAATACTTCTGATGATAGAGTAACTTACTTGTATAGATAAAAGAAAATGTATCCACTGTGTTGTCTTTTGTAGCGAACTGAGTGTTCAGCAACCTACAATAAAAAACAAGAATTTACCATAGAGTTCAAACTAGCTAACCTGTGAAATCCACTTTAAATGATATTTATGATATAGCGTCACAATTTTTTAAGGAAATATTTGTGATTTTGACCTTAACTCATCCATTTTGGTTAAAGAAAATTGAAAAAACTAGCTAAATCACTGAGACTTTCTTCTTACTGTTATTAAATTAATATTTCAAACCTAACAGGTAAGGATAAAGAATCAGATAGGATACCTTTGTTGCTGCAGAGTCATCATAACTTGTCCACTGTTTGGTTTTGCAATCATACACATCTGAAATATAATGTCCTGGTACAAAGAGAGTAATTCAAGAAAAGCACACCATCAGGCAAATCTTAGACTATCAGCACTCTGTCCTTTCCAATGAAGTCTGTTGTGTGAGTCAGTAACAAATCAGCCCCCCCCCCCCCCCCCCCCCCCCCCCCCCTACCCACTCCCACAAAAATAAAAATTGATGTCAGCATGCAGTGCTCTCATACAAGTACTGGTAGTTCTGCATGGCGTGCTGACATCAATTTTTTTTTCCAGTCACAACAGACTTAACAAAAACTCTCAAGATATTTCCACATAACCAAGTGTTTGTCACCAGCTGAGGTGAAAGCGCATCCATTTAGCAGGAAAAAAAAGGATTACAATAATTTCAACAACATTCTAACTGGAACTTTGTATTTACCTGATGGGAAAGAAGCTATTGAGCTCACCTGAAGTAGAACTTGTACCAAGATGGCTGACAATACTAATAAGTCTGTATGAATGTGTAGAGGGCTTCCCCTCTCTCTCATCAATCTGACAATGAAACAAATTATGTAAGCAAAAGGCAAACATATTAAACAATGTGTAAATAACTGAAAGTAAATGTCAAGCATTTGCATCTCCAAGGATATCCATAGATTATTTCCTGGTCAAATTAGAGTTTGTAGTGTTGAAGTTTGCAAAAAGAAAAGTAAAGAACACCAAAATCCTCTGCTCTGTCTTATTTTTGACCTTCTCTTGGCAAGATGTTTCACAATTCTGGATACTACAAAAACTTTATAATTGTGAAAACCACTGAAACAATATAGATAAATATACATTCTGTTCTAGTCCATTCAAACATACCTCAAAAGTAGGCTCTGTTAAATTATTAGGGTCCACTGCAGCTGGTGATACAACCTTGGTGGATTTTAAGTCCTGCCCTTCAAAATCTATTGAAATAATCAAACAGATGGCAAATGAAGACCTAATTAACCCTTTAACTTTCATGATCTGATTAATAAGATCCCCACTAGCTGCAACACATTTCCTTGTAAACTAGTAACAAGAATTTGATGTTGGATCAAGATAACAACCAGATTAGTTTGAGTATTCTCATTACCTGTTTGCTGGATAATGTCTTAATATTGTGGGGAGAGTGAAATGTTAATCAATCCTGGGAGTGAAAGGGTGAAAAACAGAAATTAAAGACCATTAGGGGCCATTTCCCATGACGGGAAATTAGATGCTTGTCACTTATGGGTGCAATGATGATTTAAATGCTCATGTGTTTTAGAGGGCATTTTCCACATTTCCCCTAATAAATTCACCTTGCAAACTCAGCTGCAAAGCTCTCTTCAGATCTTCATCTTCTGTCTGGTAAGAATAATTAAAAAAATAATATTAATAACTACTTAATAATGAATAAAAGAAATTTAAATTGTGGGTACCAAGCTGTAAACAATTCATCTCTTTCTTCTACTGCTAACATCAGGATGAAACATTTTGAGAGGCTTAGAGTTAAAACTCTCACTCAAAGTTTGGCCATGTATTAGAAGTGCTTCAAAAGTTGCTGAATTTTTGCAATGTTCTTTATTTCAGAAGGTAAATACCATTTGAAACTTTTTTGTACACACTTAGTTTTCAAGAAATAACTTATGGGAAAATTGTGTCCTTCTAGAAGAATATTAAATGCTTCTATAGTCTCACACATGTTTTTTCACAGAGAGAAAAGGTTGTCTTGTTTTTGATGGACGTGATCAATGAAAAAGAATGCTGTTAGGAAAGTGAAATTCCTTCTGGGATACAAATTCTTATAAATTTAAAAGTTACCGTTTCCTGTTCACTTCTTGTCTGGTCTTGAAGACTCATGTTGATTGCCTTTTCCATGTCTTCATCACTAAAACATTGAACCTCCCAGCTGCTCTTGTCAACAATCTCACTACCAATAGTGTTGGTTGAAGCAAGATTACTCTCTTTAATGCCAGCATCAAACAGATCCCCTTCAAATTTTCCTAGCTTGGGTGTTTTACTCAAGCTGAAATTTCTTTGAAGTGTTTGTCTTTGAATGGAACTACCAGTTCTTTTTTTGATACAAATCTTAGGAGTGCTGTTTTTTAGAACAAATCCTGTGTCTATGCCATTTTCGAAGCTTGAATCTTCCCCACAGCTTTTGTCATTGCCAGTATCATTCAGACAACTATCATCAAGATCATGGGAAACATCTTGAGCTGCTGTTGTAATTGGAGCACCTCCTTTTAAACCAACAGGTTCTTCAACTTTGCTGCTCTGAGCCATGAAAACTAAATCTTCATCAGAAATATCACTCAATTGATTAAAATCATCACTGTCGAAATTAGAAGTTGCATCTTCACTCAAAGCTTCTGTTTTCGATGTGCGTTCCCCAGCATTTTTGTTGGCTTTTTGTTCAAGTCCATTCAATTTTGCCATTGATTCTTTTTTTGCTGATTTTGTACTCTCTGCCAAAGCCCATTTCATTTGCTCTTCCTCTGTATCTTCCCAAATTCGTTTGAATCTCAGTGGGGTATGACGTAAAGGTGTGCTCCCGACCTCTCCAACTTCAATGACATCTTTCTCACAAATAGTTGGTTGATTGGTAACATGGCTCACAGGGTTGGAAAAACAATTGCCAATATTAGATTTTGTATCATTGCTCAAAATGTCTGCCAAAGTATTGCATTTGGCATCATCTTCATTTATTTCTTTGTTTATATTTGATTCTTTTTCTGCTGATTTAGCACTTTCAGCCAAAGCCCATTCCATTTGCTCCTCTTCTGTTCCCTCCAAGACTGATTTATTCCTCAGTGACGGTGTGTGCCTGATCCCATCAAATTTAGTGATATCTTTGTCGGCAGTTTTTTCAGATTCATGGGTCTGTTCTTCTGTTTGGTCATTTTCAACGACCCTGTCTAGCTTGGAAACACCCATGACCTCCACATCATCATCTGAATAATTTTTTGTGTTTGTCAGAGAATTTCTGGCAGCAGCACTGATAAGAAAAATTCAATGATCAGAATTTGCATATTGATTTCAATGACATCTCTAAACATAAAAAGCACTTTCTTTGTCCTTGAGGGCAGCATACTGATTTACGATACTGTTAACATACTTTGAAACGTTTTTCCCCAAAAAAATTCAACCCTTTATACCCTAATGCCAGTATACAATCAAATTCTCCAAACTGTTCTCTTAGCATTTTCTGAGGTGCCACGCCAGGGAGAATTTGTTCAACAATCAAGAGCTTAAATCTATATTTGGTGATCATTTTTGTTATTTTAGTGACCTTAATTTGTGAAAATAGATGCTAGTTACTCTTACGAGTCAAAGGGTTAGTTAAAGCAGGGAAACTTGCTTATGGAAAGTATCTAAATATAAATCATTCTTTTCATGAAAGACTGTCAGTTATAGCAAGATTATCATTCCATGTTTCTTTTATGAATACCATAGTTTTCTGTACCTTGAGAAATTTTCATTTGCAAAAGAATGTGATAGTTTCCTCCTCACTGAGGGAGAGGGTTGATAATGAAGAGAATCATCATCGTCCTCATCACTGGTTAAGTAGCGTTTCTGTGGTTTACGGCCTGATTTTGTTGGACTGCTGGAACAAAAAAAATAGAACAGATGCCTGATTGTGCCATGCCAATTATATAAAAGCTGAATTATACATTCATTTTGATTGGCTCTTACATATGATCTGTTGGAGAACAGACTTATAGATGACATCACTATTAACAGCATTTTGCTTCCTTCTTTTTATAAAACAAAAAGAACCCATGTTGCGGCACATCTGTTCAGGAAAAGATCTCAGAAGCTGTCAAAATGTGGGAAGAACATCAGTGACACACTTGGCTGTCCTTTGAGTAACAATGTTTTGTTCTTATCATATTTTTATGTCATCTGTGATCTACTACTGAACACCTCACAGCAACATGGGGGTGGGGGGGTGTTTTCATTAAATAAATGTCCTTCCATGTCTAGTGTTTAGCCTTCTGGACACCATTCACAAAATAAATGTTCAGATAAAAGATTCAGCTAAATTGAAGATAGTTTAATGGGTGGTTTTGTTAAAAAAAAAAAAACGGCTAGTTTCATGCTACACATTACTTACAATTTGAGTGATGACTTTGGTTGGAATGGCAATGGAGGCCTTGATGTTGATGAGCACAGCATACCTTCAGACAAGATGAATCATGAATACTTGACTCTAGTGTACTTCCAGTAACAAGGCCCAAAATAAAAAGGAGAAATTTCTAATTGCCTTTTGGCACCTTGATGGTGAAAAATGGTTGCCAGCACTAAATTTTGAGTTGCCAATTTAAAAACTGGATCTGAATGTACCTGCAGTACCACTAATTTGGCTTTACTATGATGTAAGATGTAAGAAGTTACAACATGAAATTCTGCACTTGCCTTTAAAAGTGATCATGTTTGCAAAGTGTGTGTCAAAAGATGGATGTGTTTGATGTCAACAGAATTTGTTTATGCAAGTTTCCTCTTTTTCATGGAGGTGGAAGTAAAACTAGACAGTGTGATGTACTTTTGACCTCAACTTATTTAACTTTCTAATTTAAAACATTAAAAAATGAAGTCATCACAGTGACAACTAGCCCAAAACTTTTAGCTTCCAGCAAGAAAATGTTAGTTCCATTAGCACTAGTATTGATTGCAATCTCAAGCCCCCAGTAACAATGGGTATTAACTGCCAAAGAGAAAGATGTTGTGTTGATACTCACTAAGGTTAATGAACCTTTCAATTTTAACCTTGTCTTGCTTCTTGGCCTGTTCTTCAGTAAAGTTGTCAAATCCATACCGCTTCAAGTGCAGAATAAGCACTCTGAAAGAAATGGCAAAATACTAAACAAAACTAAATTCAAATATCCAAGTCACTGTTTAATGGAATATAAAAATAGCCATCCACTACTCATGTATTCTGCAGTGACTGTTCAATATTATGTAGTGAGTTTAATTTTTTAATTTAAAAAAAAAAATTTTAGCTAAGATATATAAATTTATCAGGTGCATCACTTAGATCAAGTACAGACTTGCCAGCGAGTGGCAGACTACCACCTTAGTAAAAAGTGAAAAAGGCAAAACTAACCTTGGAAGCCTACTGAAACTGTGTGCAATGATAGCTTCCTTAGACTCACATTTTCCACATGAGTACTCAAGCTGTTCATCCTAAAATGAGATAAAAATCAATGTTGCTTTTTGTGAGATATGTTCTTCAGATCATTTTGACATCTTAATGCAAACTTTACCCTTTTAACTCCCAAGATCTTCATAGTAATTCTCTTTACTATCTCCAATACAATTCTCATAATGTTAGTTCAGAGAATTTGATATTGGATCTACTAATAATCTCCTAACTGATATTTTTCTTTATTCTCATTACTTGTCTACTTAATTTTTGGTGACATTATAAGAAGAAATTCTTTCTTGGTCACTTATGGGAGTTGAAGGGTTGATCCAATTTTCAGTTTTTCCACTGCTTACCTCAAAGTGTTTCTCTAGTAAGGTTTGCATGCTGACAGCTGAGCCAAATGGAGACTTGTCTGAGGAATTACACCTACAAAATGGACAAATGAAGTTTGCACTGTTGATTTCTGTAAAAGTTATGGTGCTTTTCAACAAAAAGTGAACTACAGAGTTGGAAGTAACCATCAAAGATTTTATTTCCACTGCTGTTGGTTGTGTTGCGGAGCTCATAAAAAACAGCTATGATGTCCCAGGGTTTTAAAGACCAATTCATGAGTGGTGATCACAGCATTTAAACCAATTTTTCTTGTTTTCATTACAAGATGTCATATGCCAAAGATAATGATTGATGGCAGCATGAAATGAAATAACAAGTTTGGCTCGGAGTGTTAGAGTTTGCATGTTATGGAAAGGTGTTGCTCAGGAGTATGTTTATTCAAAGTTAAAGGAGGAGTATCCTGTTATGGAAAATACCTAAGTTGGAATAAAAACTTTGGATCAAGAATATATACTCACAGAACTGGGATGTCAAGAGAAAAGGCATGGTAAATCTCTTCTTTTGGAGCAGATTCTCCACACCTAGATGTCAACATTTACACAATTTGTATTTATAGCAATCATGGCAAAATGTTTAAATCAAAAATTTATACACTGGTTTGAATACAAGAGTAAGTTAGGAAGGAAGACATAAGCTTGAGAGAAAGAGAGGAAAAAGAAAAAGGAAAGAAAAGAAAGAAAAGAGGGGTTGGGGAGGAGAGGAATAGGTATTCAGTGAGAGTTTGAGGGAACAAGAGAGTAGTGGGGAGGGGAGACTGGGAGGAGGAAGCATAACTCAAGGGGAAAAAAGAGGAGGACTGGGAGAGAGGAAGGATGGAAGGAAGAGACAGAAGGAGAGACTAAGGGAATGAGAGTAGTGAAGTAAGGAAGAAAAGGAGATGAAAAGAAAAGAGAAGGAGGGAAGAAAAAAAAAGAGGAAGGACTGGAGTGGGCAGAGAGGAAAAAATGAAGAAAAGAAAGGTGACGAATTGGAAAAGGAAGGTTAACAAAGTGTGAAAAGAGGAAAGGTTAATGGAGGATCAAAAGGATAAAGAAATAAGGGAAGAGGAGAAAAGGAGTGAACAAGAAAGAGGCCTGAGTAGGTTAAAAAATTATTTTCACAGCTACACAACAGTAGTACCAATTTGTAATAAACTACTTACTGTTTACAAATGACTGTATGGACCACTCCACTTTCAAAAGATCTTGTCACAGGACATTGAGAATCTGCCAACTACACAGGAGCAGGAATTAAAGTCTATTCATTACAAAGTATAATTTTGTTGAGATCAAAATTTTTACTACTGATTTCAACCTCAAATAAACATATAATGTGGAGCTATATGTAAAAACTTATCATCATGATGGTGAAAGCCCTGCTTTGAAATTAAACAAATATCATCAGTGCCAGCAACAAATTTTCCATAAAAATTCTTACCTTTGGGTTACTTCCACTTGAGGTATCTTTGGAAGATGGAGAGTTAGATTTGCTCACATCATCCTTCAGCTGATCAAACACTTGACAAAGGAACTCATGAGCATCCTGTAAAAATAAATCAAATAAACTTCAAACTTCTCTACAATAAAATTTTACCATTTGACCTCTGAGAGTGACTAGCATCTAATTTCTCCCAACAGTATAAAACCTCCCCTCCCCCCAAATAAAATGACATATGAGAATAAAGGAAACAATCAACGATTGAAGATGCTTTTGATTGTTAAACAAATTCTCCTTGTCAGCAACTAAGAAAATGTATGGAGAACAGTATGGAGAATATGCATACTGATGTTAGGGTGTGAAAGGTTATGTCATTTCCAATTGCATACATCATAATTCACCAGACCCAAAGCTAGATCCACACACATCTGAATAAAATGTTGAATATTTCCTTTTGCAGAAGTGCTTGTTATTCTTTGGAAAACCAGCTCCAGGTACAGATAATTGTTTTGTAAAGCTTTACCTCTCCCTAACAAAAGGTGAACTTCCTGTGACAGCACAATGAATGAGATAGATGCTGTAAATTCTTACATGCTGATGATATCCTGAAAAACGTGTTGCAGCTTCAGAGATTGTTCGCTTAAGTTTCCTCAAACAATTCTTCAGCACCTCTGGATTTCCACACTTTCTTTTACACATTAGAACACTATGAAGACATCTGTGGGAAAAGAAGGAAAATAGGAAGGAAGATAAAAACTTAACACTCCTAGGTGGAAAGAGACATTGTTTTGCCCAAGAAAACAACATATTGGGGAGTTTTAGATCTACAACTGTTTCTGAATGTGTGACCACAAACATCTAGGAGTCAAGTGACCAAACTCTAGCAGTCACGTTTGCCGTTTGCCGTCAATGTTTGAACTTTGGACAAGGCAGTTTCAGGAACTCCCTTGATGCTTTTTTACTTCCTGTTCAAAAGTTCTCATTCGTGTTCCATAAATATATTTGAGGTGAAGTCTTTTCTTTATAACCAATCCATTTTGGATGCTAGAAAATCAATCTTTTAACCACATTCTGAGTTTGAAATGAAGGACCTCCTTCCTTTGTGTAATTTCAGATGGCAATGCACATGTTTATTTTTTAGGGTGAAAGCGGATGTTGAGCTAAAAAGCTGAAAGTCTCAAAACTTCTAAATTCTAACTTCTAACCACAAACTGCTGATTGTGGTTTAATATTTGCAGTGAACACACCAAACTGGGATCTAAAACTCTCTATTGACACCACCTGGACTCCAGAGCTGTTTACTTGGAATCCAAGGCACAAACCAGTACACCATGATGTCTCCCATGACAAACAAAAGAAAAACAAACAAACAACAAAAAAGAGGTAATTTTACACTTACTTGTACAGACAGTGTGGAAGAACATTTTCCAACAAAGCTCTGTTAGAAAGATCCTGAACAAATGGTGGCAAACCAAGTAATGACTGAAGAATGGCATTCATGTAGCAAGTATTTCCCAAGTTTGAAAAGCTGCAACCATAAAAATTCAATTTGTGTATTTCAGATTTGATTTCATTGAATGACAGTGTAACAAAGCTAACTGCAATGAGCCTTCAGGGCTCTTCTGGACAGCTGTCATTGTCACAAGTATAGGCTCACATGGAACATTGCACATCAAATATTTATTGTTCACATCTTTGAGTTCTTAATTCTGCCCAACTTTTGTAATTTTAATCAAAATTATTTGATGTTTAATCAAACAACATCCCTTCTTTTGATATGTCCCTCTCAAATCAATCTTTCTGCTTAAAATGTATTGGTATGGTAAGCAATAATAATTGCTTTGGTATTGGTAAGAGGAAATTGCTTTTTGTTCACTTCAGGAACTGGAAGAGGATTTTAAAATGTAATGAGCCTTTTGTAATTTATAATTTACTGCCAGAATGATCTGTACCCAAGTAAAGACCATGGGAAAGTTCAGATTCTATAAAATCTTTCTTTGGAATGATCATAATGATACAGGAAATTAGACTGCACTTTCCTACCCCGTCAATGCAAAATCTCTCTCGTAGAGAAGCTTCTCACGGGATCTGAAAGATATCTGACTTGTCAGACGTGTTGTTTGAGGTGCAGGCATCAAGCCTGGGCCCCTAACATTCTTTGCAGATTTCCTGTGAATGAAAATGAACCATTATTGACGTCCATCCATCTCCAGATCAGGGTCCGCTTGTTGGAGAGGTAGTTAGTGATTATCCAAGATCAAAAGTTTAACCCTCGAACTCCCAAGATCTGATTGTTAACATCTTAATTGTACTTTGAACAACTTGACCCAGATGAATCACTCAATTTCTACTTAATAGTAATCTACTGTTCTGCCAGCAATAAGCACACCCATGCTAAACTGGGCATAGTCCTTTATGCCAAATGACCAAATAAGCATTCCTTTCCTCTCATCCCTTGAGTTTTTTAAATATCAGGCTTACTTGGAAAATCTCTATCTCTTGTCAACCATTTATAAAACTCTAAACCTCAAATTTACTGGCAACAATTCATGTAACAGAATGGTTCATTCCCTGCAAAGTCACTTCTGACCATAGGTGTGTTGTATTTTATTTATCCTCACATGAAGATATATCCATAATTGGGTCATAATTTGTCAAAAGAATAACTTAATGCAACAAACACCTCACCACTTTCCTCCTCAGTAAGCCAATCACAAAACAGGTTTTGCAAAGAAGGCAAAGCTGGATGGATGTGACAAACCGTTCTTGCCCACTCTCCCCTACCCCATTCCCCCTCCCCCTCAAGGGTAGCCAATCAGGACAGGAGATGTGCATCATCTTTCCCATTTGCATACCAAGCCCAAAATAAAATTTTAAATTACTAACCATTCACTTGGGGACTGTGTTAAATTTTGTGATCCATAAAATGAAGTGACCGACTTTCCACCACTAGATGTATTGCTGAGATTATCTGTTATAAAATAATTAAAGACAGTTTTGAGCCCTGACCTTTACAGCTGAAAAGTCTGTAATTCCTGATACACTCAAATATGAATTGTATTTATAGTTGACTCTGAATACTGGGAGAGACCCAATGGTCTGATTGTTAGCAAAGTGAATCCTGGGTTGAGGGACTGGGTTTGAGACCTGGCCAGGTCACTGTGTTGTGTTCTTGGGAAAATGCTTAAATTTCGCAATGCCTCTCCCCACCCACGAATATAAATGGGTACCAGTGAATTGTCAGCCTTGATGAAATGCTAGGCAGAAGGGGGGGAGGAGTATTGCAAAGGACTGGAATCCAATCCAGGGGGGAGTAGTATTACTCCTAATCCCTTCATGCTATGGAAACCAGGCACCCTCACTGGACGGGCCAAGGAGGGGAGGGTATTGCAAAGGACTGGCATCCTATCCAGGGGAAAGTAGTATTACCCCTAGTTTGCTTCATCCCATGGGAACCAGGCTAAGCCCTCGCTGGACAGGTCACTTGGCTCTGGGGTTCAGACATATAGGGTCTAATTTCTCAGCTGAAAATTTGGAATCAAAATTTGGTGCACAGTTTAGAAATATTTCACTCATGTGCATGAGCCTCGAGGGCTTTCTTATTATTTTAATACAAACCTCTTGCAAATGTTTTATCCACAAGAGGGGTTTTATTTGGTGATCTGTTTGATGAAGGTGGATTCATCTGCTTGGCATGAAGATTGCGCTGAACACTAGGGGTTAGTCTATAAAAAAAAATGGATTGATCAACAAAAACAGAATTACTGATAGAGCTTATTTCATGATGTATGTTGAGTCTAAAGTAGGGGAAAAAAATGTGCAAAAATGTTAGCACTTATAACTGACCCACATATTGAAAGAAAAACTCCTTTTAACCCAACAAAAGCTCTTTGAGGCTGAAAGATTGCTGGCTCTTGCATCAACTCTGATAGAGTTTCACTCCCAGGAATTACCGAAAAAAATCTTCCTCACTATATCAAATTCTCTAATTTCACACTAGAAGAAGATGAGAAGAGTGTGAAATATCAAGAAGGGAATACTGATTGATCTAAT